CCACAACTCATCTGATACTCTACCTTCGTTCTGCCCCAGCTGTTCCACATCACCCCATCAGTTTGTAATTTCTCTGCCCTGTTCTGTCAGCTGACAACCAATTTTTATTAATAATACTTTTACAGACAAACCAGTCAGCTGATATAAGGACAGAATTTTCGAAACTCTGATCTAAACTGATCAATAGTCCTCTTTAAATAAGCTCAATAAGGTAGCACTGGAAACACGATCTATAAATAAGTAAAAATCTCCTAAATTAAGTGTATTTACCCTTAATTTCAGTAGGTAAATGAGATAGTTTGCCAATGGAATGAGTATTTTTACTCTTAAAATAAGATAATTAGATAATTTGCACTTGAAATAAGACAATGCAATTATGTTTACTTATTTGAAGTGTAAATTGTCTTGTTCCATTGGCAAAATGTCTCTTTTACCTCCTCAATCCAAGAACAAATGCACTTACTTTAAGAAAAAAATACTTATCTAGATTTTTGATTTTTTCCAGTGAGGCCAGCTCTGTTCTAGGAACTCCTTTAGAACATCTGGAGATGATTTCACAAAGAAGAATTCTTCGTAAAGCGAAGAACATTACGGAAAACAGTGAACATCCTCTTCAAGAAGATTATTGAACAACATCGGAGTGTCTTCACTCAGAATTTTCTTCCAATACAAGTCAGACCTCTATAGAGGATCCTTCAAAAAACCTGGAGTTATTACAACCTTTCAATTCCCTTCAGGGTCCTTTAATTGTTTCTGAAATGAGCATGAAAGTATTTAAAAATAAACCCAATCTAGAATCACTGACGCTAATCTACCAACATCTCTGCACATGGATCCTCTTTTTAAATGTGTGCTTCCTCTAAATGTGTAAATGATCAGTGAAAATTAAGGATATGAAAACTGTTTTCTCCTCTTCATTGAAATATTTTTTTCAAATTTAAAAACAGAGCAAAATTGATGGTTTTGATCAGTCATCATTGATTGATTGTTCCTATAATGAGTTTATTTTCTAACTGTAGGAGAAACAGACTGAATTGTCTTGTCGTCTCTCTCTTCTATCGTCTTCAGGAAGTGTTGCAGTTATTGTCTGCATGTTCCTCCTGGTGGTCGTCCTGGTGCTGGGAGGATTGTACCACTACAAGTTTAGGTGAGTCCTGAGTAAATCATAACATTGCTTTAAACTAAATGATTATGTGTAAAGACCAATCTCTCTCTCTGTATTATCTTTTACAGACGGACGTCATACGGCCCTCTCATGGAAAGCTTCGACCACGGCAGCATAGGAAACTTCCCCAACCCGATGTATGACCCTTGATGTTTTGGATCTCTTATCTCAGGAGAATGAAGAGTCTCTGCAGACAGTACGGATCTGCACAGAGTTGTAGCAGTATGTGACTGTGGACGTCTGTTTCAGTTATGGAACCTGTCATGAACACTGGTTAAGTGGCCTATTTCCGTGTTTTTCTGGTTAAGAACAACTTTTTAGGTGTTTTCCACTGAAAGATGAAGTAAAATAGTGACCTTCACATTCAGGACACTCTGATGCACAGAGAAACGGCCAGGAAAGGCCAATACAGAAAACTTAGTTGGGCCTTTTAACTGACAGAATGTGAAGCAGAAATGATAATCCTGGGAACTGTGTCAGATTTTCTTATATTGTCTGGGTCTATATGGTATTCTTCGGGTAACATGAAGCAAAACTGTGAGATAATATTATACGTCAAAATGAACAGTAAATTAGGTTTATAGGAAGAGCCAGGAGTAACCAGAAAGTCAAACGAGTGAAAATAAATGCATTTTAAGGAAGGATTTTCATTCAAAGACTTTTCTTTTCAGTATTTGTGTTTATTGATCAGGAAAAAAAAAACGATTAAATATGAATATTTAAAAAAAAGAGTATTAAATCGTATACAAATAAATCGTTATTTTAATAACTTTGTCTGAAAACCTTCAGTTTGCTGTAGATCAGTGAATGACTTTAATTTCCCTTTGCTCTGAAAGCAGGACAAAGTTTGGATTGTAGTTTTAAACTAAGGATGCTGTTTGTTTGTGTGAAAAATAATGTTTTAATCCTTTGCTGTTTCTTTAAGTTTGAAATTTAATTGTTTAAGTAAAAATACAGATAAAAAAACAAACAGTGATGCATTGATAAAGATCATTTTGGAGAAATTATTTGTAGTTCATAGTTCTTTACTGGGTACAGTTTTTTTCTTTTGTCATACAGGAATCCTGAGTGTCAATATACATGTCAGAAAACAGTGTGGTCAGCTAAATAAGTTAATAAAGAATAAAATGAGACATTTTTAAAATTATTAAATAAATATTTTATTTGTTGTTTCTTTGTTAGATTAAGCATGTAACTCATAAAATACTGTTTGAAATTGGAAACCAAATAAAAAAATACAAACAAACAAGTTAGCTTGCCAATTAGCATTAGCATTTGCTAGTCGTCTGGCTACATTGTGGTATGGGGTCGTTTTAAGTGATTTATTGTTGGTCCACGGAGGCTCTTCCGCTCCGTACTGCTCTTCTCTTCTCTTTTTTAGCGGCTTCTTTTATTCAGGACCTGGAAAAGAATGTCTGACTCTGAATTAAGCTATTTCAATCTGAAAAACTCACAAGAAGAGACGAGACAGAAGAAATTTATTGATACACTTACTTTGTCTTTGGTGCTGAGACTTCAGCAGAAAACATAGGCAAGGCAAGGCAAATTTATTTGTATAGCATAAAATAAAATAAAAAATGCAGAAACAAAAAAAGAATATTAAAATTAGTTGGATTAAAGAAAACATGTTTTTGTTGAACTGTTTAACTAGAATAGTCGAAGGCAATCCTAAACAAATGTGTTTTCAGTCTTGATTTAAAGGAACTCAGGCTTTCTGCACTTTTACAGTTTTCTGGAAGTTTGTTCCAGATAAGTGGAGCATAGGAACTAAATGGTGCTTCTCCATGTTTAGTTCTGGTTCTAGGTATGCAGAGCAGGCTGGAGCCAGAAGACCTAAGTGGTCTGGAGGGTTGATAAACTGATAGCATAGAGCTGAATTTTGATAGATACGCATGAACAGGAGTGAAGAACAGGGCTATTTCCCCCCCAGGCCTGAAACTGGTGGTGGAGTGAAGAGAGAGAGATGAAGTTGGTCAGTCTATAGACTGCTGGTTAGTGAGACGGTCTGCTGAGCTTTATGGGGAGATCCAGTGGACTGCGTGAGCTGATACTAGAGCTTCACTCAGGGACCTGGAAGATGAAAGACCAGCTTGGATAACAGGTTGAGAGAACCTGTCCATGATTAGCAAGCATGGAGTGACAGTGGAGAGGAAAAACTCCCCGTTGGGAAGAAACCTCTGGCAGAACCAGGCTCAACATGGCGGTCTGCAGCTTGACCGGTTAAGATGAGACAGGGAACGCAGTAAGAGTCCGGGAGGAATGAAACTCTGATGACGCTTTAGCTATGATGGTGGAGGAGGGGCTGGAGGGGGGTTGAAACGGGTCACTGAAATGAAGACAGAGTGCAACCACCGCCTGCGCACAGAAGCAGACAAGTTCCGGATCGGAGGCCTTTCAAGATGAACTTTGGACGGCTTTCGTGAGGTGTGGTGCAAAGCTGATTGGCTGTGTCACAGGTGGATGTAGGAGAGCAATCAGTTTCTTGATTTGAACTTCCGCTTAAGGTCCATTACGAAATCAAAATGAAGTTTTCATTCTGGTCTAAAGGTTTGGACTCAAACCAAGGGTGTCATAGTTAGTTATTAAATAGAACTTAGGAACAATTAATTAGGTTTATGAGTGATTAACTTACAGGACCGTGTCTGTTTGTATTGTATGTTAATAAATACTAATATTTCAAAAGTTTTTTTTATCTTATTTTTGTTATGAAAGAGCAAAACAGAAAGAATCTGTAAGGCAGTAATTAATTTTTTATATTCACTGGAAAAATCGAAATCTATATAAGTCAATTTTTCTTAAATTAAGTACATTTGTTCTTGAATTTAGGGGGTAAGAGAGACACTTTGCCAATGGATCAAGACAATTTACATTTAAAATAAGAAAAAACTATTGCATTGCCTTATTTCAAGTGCATATTATCTAATTATCTTGTTTTAAGAGTAAAAATACTAATTCCATTGGCAGATCATCTTATTTACCTACTCAAATTAAGGGTAAATACACTTAATTTAAGACATTTTTACTTATTTCTAGATTGCTGATGTAGTCGCAGGCGTAACTTTCTGAAGGAGTGGACATGTCTCCACCATAATTATCTACCTAGATAAATACAAATACGTTTTTGAGTGCATTTCTTTGTGTTTATTGAATAATAGATGATTATTTCAACCGAGCTACAGATGCAGAATTTTTAAATCTAGATGAAAATATAGCAGGAATAAAAAGGCAAAACTGATTAGATTTCAATGAGGCAGTTTTTTTCCGTGTTTGGTGGTCACGTCCTTTGGCAGCATCTCAGAGTGAACTAAACTGAGCTTAACATAAAGGGGCTTAAAGGAAGCCCTTTCTTTATTCAACCCACTCAATTTGTCGACATTACTGGGCAGCAGTAATTACAGAGGGAGCAGATTTTCATGCCATGCTGTCATTATCAGCCCCTAAATAGTCCATTCAGTGTATGTCCATATGGGTTTCCTTTATAATTACGCTGCGGGAAGGGCGGACGGTTATTTACAGTAGGAACATCTGGACCAGCTCAATTCCAATATAAGCATTTAAACAAAGCAAATATGTTAAACACGAGTCACTAAAGTTAACATAGACTGTATATGGTCTAAATCTGTTCACTGCTGGAGCATCATTAGTGCAGTTGCTTTTGATATATTGGTCACCTGCTGTTAAAATTACTTATTACAGTGCTCTTTCATTTAAACTAAATATCCCTGAAATATCTCCTCAGGGATATTTTGTATAACTTTCCAAAACAATCATCAATATAATAATTTAATAAAAAAAGCACTCAGAACATTCAGGAGGCTCCCAAACTGACACTATCAATCGCTTCTAAAATGCAAACTTTGAAGTTATTTTTTTAACCCCTGCGATGGACTGGGGACATGTAAAGGGTCTATGGATGGATGGATGGATGGATGGATGG